TATACAAGACATCCTTGGTTTTGTCAGTGATTTGACTTTTAACTATGATTATTTTAATCTACTTTGATAATTATTATGTTAATAATAATACATTATGTTGTATGTCTTTTTTATTATAATATTCTAAGTAATTAGTATTATACATTCTTAAAATGTCTTTAATTTCAAAAGAACGTTCAAATCAAATCTAAACCAATCTCTCTTTTTTATACACATACACCGCCCCCTCTCACCCACACACAAAGTCAAATACACACATCTCAGATATATGACGCAAAATCTGTCTGGATTTACTGCTTGGTTCTTACCAGAGTCTATACTTTTTTTTTTTTTAAAGAATATTGGCCTTTTTAGGGAGGGGGTTGGAACTGGACGAGCTGCTTTCAAAAGTTTACTTACTTGAAAAACCAGAAAAGCAGAAGTCAGAATGGAATTTCACAGCTAAGGCATACATTTTTGAGTAGTACCAGTTATTTTTAAGTTTTTCATCCTTATATAGTTTTAGAGATATGCCTCCTGAAAATATGTAAAATATTAGACTTATGTCTGTCATAAATGTTCATCAAGAGTATGCATAATTATGCCTGGCAGGAGAGATACTAGTACTCAATCAGCAAGGTATTTGCAACTAGGTGGGGGCTTCTGTGTAATTCTGATGCTGCACACATGGGGTAATTGTGAGAACCCCCATTCTATCTCTGGACCTCAATTTTCTATATTATATAGAAATACATCTCCTTTCAGGCAAAAATGCAGACAATGGATTTGATAGGAGTAATGCTCTCCAGAACTCCTTGTTTGCCTTTCTTCAGTTCTTGAAGGCCTCCGTGGGTCTTTTCAGACTTATATGGTGGTTGGAATTAGAGTGGGCCCAACAGAAAGTGATCAGCCACAGAGACCACCTTTTCAGAAATGTCACTACCCACTAACGAGTGAAGCTGCCATTAGCCTATTACTTTGTGTTTCTGCAGTTTGCTTTTCTGACCTATAAATTCTAAATTATCTCGAAAGTTCCTTCCAGTTTTGTAAGCTAAGATGTATTCTTGCATTGCCACCTTTGTTTTAACTGCTTAGGACCATCAAGATCTTCCTAGAGAGAGTCTCAACAGTCCTCAGAATTTGGTGGCTTCCCCAGGATCTAGAATGATTTGGATTCTACCAACCTTGGTAAAAATGCTAACCTCCTTTTAGGGAATGCCACAGCTGTATAGGTTTTGCCTTCTGCAATGTATATTGTTATGCCCCAGGGTTTTTTTTTTGTTTTAATCTAAGATTTTGAGTTTATCAGGTGGCCCTTGAATAAGGGGAATTGCGAAGGCAGGTAATACATGGATTGAGGTATATAAAGGCATAGGAAATAGTGATGCTAGAGGGTGGAGAGCTGAAAGAACCCACACACTGGGCCTAGCAAACGTCTCAACTGGATCAAACCACCTGCTGGATTCCAACTCAGATCTTTTAAAACCAAGTTGAGGGTGAGAGTGGGAATCTGCATTTTAAGCAGATTTGCAAAATGTATCTTAAGCTCATTGATCTTTGAGAATTATCATGTAAGAATGTAAGAATCATAGAATTCAAACATTGGGAAACAAGAAAAAAAGTGCGAAAGGGGATAAAATAGGGTATTAAAAATAAGCAAGCACAACTTTTGGGCCTCTAGGCTCTGCTAATCTGGGACAATTTTATCACCTTCCAGGGCTCATACCATCTTTTGCTAGGCTTCTCCACCTAATCAGTCCTCATGGCTGGTGTAGGAAACATCTAATGGCCTACTGTGTTGTTGTGCTACCTATTGTTTTGTGCTACTTGTTTAAAAATTCCTCTCCCCTGACAGTTTGTCAAAATTCTGGCAGGAAAAAGAAAATCAGCACAGCTGCCTGTTAACTTCGGTAGGACAAGAATAGTTACTAATTAAACTCTTATGTCTTTGATTTAAAATTCCATTTAACCAAATTGTTCACAAACTTAAGGCAGTTGTTGATTACAGGGAAAGTATACCTTGCATCTTTGTTAGTTACAACCCTATTTAGGGCCTCATCAACTGCCAAAAGGAATACAACACGTGCTTTCTTAAGAAAAGTTGAAAATCTTTCAACGTTTGATTCCTTCCTCCTTGAGGATCTTTCTTAAATCAGAGAAAGGCTGGCTGAATCCCAGGCGTAGATTATCATTCTTGCTTCCATTATTTTTAATCTGACTTTGGAGCCTACAATAGCTGCCAAGTGGTTTGAGGATGGCTGTAAAGGCCACATCTAAGTGGCTATGAAGTTAGGTGTAGGAAACAGGCGAGATGGGCCAGTGGCACCAGGTGGGGCTTCTATTAGTCTTGTAGGCAGTAAGTGCTTTGGGGTCTGCTGCTCTTTGGGCTTTTCATGCCTTGGGTTCTGCGCCCTCCAAATATGTGGTTAGAGACAGTTAAGATCACTGTGATTTTTCTCCTGCCCCTTCTCTTTCTTGTGACCCTCGGGGACTTGAGTTTCTAGGGCTTCCTCTTCATGATTTCCTGTGACGGTGCAATGTGGGAAAGGCAAGAAGGTGGTAACTGTTCAGAGAGAGTTATTTAGGAAAGGGCAGTTGGTGACTCCTTCATGTCTGAGTGTCTGCCCAGCTGGCTGCAATGCAACTGCTTAGACTCAGTAAGCAACACATTCATGAAGTTAAGTTTCCTGAATATGGCAATATAAGACAGGTGAGACTTCTTATAGGTGCTTTGAAGATGCCACAGTTACAGCAGACTAATAAAAAGAAGGGAATGTGATGGTAGAGGTGGGAAGCAGAAGTCTTTTTTTTTAAGACTGGCATTTATTAGTTGCTTCTAAAATTCATTTTGAGAGGTTGATCAAACTACTCAACTATTGTCAATTTAAAATCATGAAATCTATAAATTTGTAAAGGAGAACCTTATTTCTTATAATGGGTTGCAACCTGAAGGCTGGGAAGTGGAGCAGTTATTTCACGCAAGGAGGACAGGAGGCTTATGCTAAGTAGTTTGGCTAAACATACATATTTAACAGGTTATAGCAGGAGATGTGAATATTCAGGAATGAGGGATTGCACACATGCATAGTGTATTAGTCCATTTTCACGCTGCTGATAAAGACACACCTGAGACTGGGTAATTTATAAAGAACAAGAGGTTTAATGTACTCACAGATCCACGTGGCTGGGGAGGCCTCACAATTTCGATGGAAGGTTAAAGGCACGTCTTACATGGTGGCAGGCCAGAGAGAGAAGGACAGCCAAGGAAAAGGGGTTTCCCCTTACAAAACCATTAAATCTTACAAGACTTATTTACTACCACAAGACTAGTATGGGGGAAACTGCTTCCATGATTCAATTATCTCCCACCAGACCCCTCCCAGCACATATGAGAATTATGGGAGCTACAGTTCAAGAGAAGATTTGATGGGGGGTACACAGCCAAACCATATCACATGGTATGGAAACATGTATGTTACATATGTCCCATGTTCATTTTAGGGTGGAGACTTAACGTTAAAATGCAGTGAAATTAGGCCCTATACATCAAAAAGTGAAACATGGGCATAAGGGTACTTAGTAAGCCGCCTCTGTAAACTGGCCAGAACCAGTCCCTGGTTGGTGGCCATTTATTAGGAAGGAATGCTTTGTGCTAGGTTGTCATGTTGAAACCATGAAGAGGAGGGGAATGGTCACATTCCACTCTGGCCACAGTATCATGTGGTTGGTTGAAATCAGTGGAAGAGTGTTCTTTTCTTTGTTTTCTAGGGCTGGCTTCTGTTAATGCTTAGACAAAAAGGTCTGGTAATGGCTGATGAGGAAGAGGATATACTGAGGTGTGATCAGTCTCCCTTATCATGGCTGGGAAATAGTTTTTGAAGTTTTTCTGGAGTTTCCTTGGCCAAAAGGGGCCTGTTCAGTCAGTTAGAGAGCTAGGGTTTTATTTTTATTTCATACCACCTTACTCTCATTACCTACCAAATCGACTTCTTTAGGGGTCTTTGTGCAAAAGCTAACATGAAATGCGTGCTTGACACTCATCAACACTCATTCTTGGGATGTTTCGAGGTGGGACGGCCTATGCTGTTGAAACAAGTGACAACAATGAAGGGGCTTCATAGGGTTCAGGGATTCTCTTTTGCTATGAAGGAAGCAGATAGACCTTACTTAAGAACTGAGACTAGGCCAGGTACCCTAGCTCACACCAGCACTTTGGGAGGCTGAGGTGGGTGGATCATGAGGTCTGGAGTTTGAGACCAGTCTGGCCAACAAGTTTGAGATCAGGCTGGCCAACATGGTGAAACGCCATCTCTACTATAAAAGTACAAAAATTAGTTGGATGCAGTGGCGTGCGCCTGTAGTCCCAGCTACTCTGAAGGTAGAGGCAGGAGAATCGCTTGAAACCAGGACGGGGAGGTTGCAGTGAGCCTAGATCGCACCACTGCACTCAGACTGGGCAACAGAGAGAGAGACTCCATCTCAAAATAATTAATAATAATAATAATAATAATAATGAGACTAGATTTGCCAAGCATACTAAGCCAGTTTTTCCTTTGTGTATGTGGAAATACAAGTCATGCCATTGTGACCTATAATAATAATATTTTAACCAAAGCAGAAGATGTGATTTCTTCTCCAGCCTCTTTGAGCATCATTTTAGATGGTCTGACTATAGTCTAGCTCCTATAACTTTTTCTTTAAATGGCGCAGAATGTTGTGTATAACATTGGAGTTGCTTCATTTTAATGTTTTCTACCCTTGAAATAGAGTCAATTATCTTATTAAACTGGAACAAGCCACAAAAAGCAATCATTTCTATAAGTTTAATATAATTATGAGGACAAACTGCCCACAGGATAAAGTGTGGGATGCAAAGTGCTAACAATTAATTTCTCTCAGCTTTTTAAGATACATCCTATCATTCATCCTGTTAGAGGTGACAGAACAGGTGTTAAGTGTTTGAATAGTTTGAGGCCATACAACTAATTACTAGGAATATTAAGGGTAAAATGTAGACTTACCTTAAAGCATATCCTTAACCTTGGATCTATGCCACAGTTCTTTTCCATGGGTCTTTGGAGAAACCAGTCTGGAATGCAAATTTCATTTGGCATTAACATATCAATACCAGTTAGCTACATGAAAAGCTTCTTAAGTCTTAAGGGATGGTGGAAAATGCCACAAAAAATATTGCCACAGTGTGCTAGCTCTCTTTTCTAGAAGTCATCCTAGAAAAGTGAGAAATATTTATCTGACTGCATCTAGATGACTCCTGACACACTGCTGTATGCCAGAATTCTATACTGTAATCCACTGCCTGCCAACAACTCTGGGATCCTGAGAACTAATCTGCTGTCTCTCCAGTGAAATGTTCTTATTCCAGGTAAGGTGTCTCATGGCTGCCACTGCCCTGCCATGCCACCCAACTTTACCATCCTCAGCTGGCTTATTATTAATGCGTCCATTAGGAGAAGCAACATGAGCAGCAAAGCTGCCCAACTTACCAAATCAGTTCTACTCTTTTTCTCTCAGCAAAGACTGCAGTTCACCATGAGTCTGATGACAGGTAGGTGGAAGCACAAGTAAATTAGAAGCTACCCCTTACCCCTTTTGCTATAGGGGTGATATCTCCATATAGATTCTTGTAGTGCTGAGAGGGATTCTAGCTTCCCACTTGCAGATGTATTTCCATTCAAGCAGATGTCCACACTGGGGGTGATATTGTTCTAAGGCTTTTTTTCACTAATACTTACGTAGCCACACTAACTCCATATGCAGAATCGACTCTTTGACATGCCCCTGTTGATTTCAGTGGGTAAGTTACATGATGTTCCCATGGCAATTCCCAACTACAAAGCAACTCACTAACCAGTGCTCTTTAAACACCTAGCTACTTGGTGAATGGTCATCAGAAGTTGCTGTTTGCCTTCATATCACCCAGGCTCAAATCAGACACATCCTTCAGTTCAGAGTTGATGCTTTCAGATTTTTCTGGTTACATTCACAATCTGGTAAGTTACTTTTTTTGCTCCTCTCTGACAATCTAGTATTAGGATGATAAACATAAGAGTACAATCTAAGTTTCAAATCTGAATTATTTTGTAGATCTATATTACCTGCCATCTGAAGGCTACTGAAGGCTGCTGAGGCATCGGTTGAGCCACATTCTTCAAACCTGACTTGCTCTTTTAATGGATGAAACAATTTGCCAGTATAGAGATAGAAACATTTGTAGATTTTGATGTGAATGTCAGTGGTGTTAGGTGTAAACTACTATGACCAGGCAGAGGCAAATTCACTAAAAATGCTGAGTTTAGAGAGGGGCAGTTGCCTTTTGAGGCTGCACGAAATAAATTATTCCCAGGTATTAGGGCAGGCAGGGAAAGAATAAAGCGATAGCTTGCAACCATACAATTAAGCTAATTGTTTAACAGCTGTGTCGAGGAACTAAGCATTTTACTAAGATTTTAATTTAAGAGGTCGGCCTTTTTCTATCTACATGTAAAGTAACCAGAAGTCATTAAAAATGGCAGAGAGAGCTGGCAAATTAAGATTTCAATCAAGGTCCAGAACCCTATTCTTTTCTAATTAAAGAATCTAAGGGAATTCTTGAACTTGGTTGCAAGTTAGATCACCTGGGAAACTCTTAAAAATTCTAATATGCAGCACTAACCTAGAACAATTAAATAACAAACTCTATAGTGCAGAACTCAGGTATCAGTAACTCTGAAACTTCCCATGTGATTCCAATGTGCATCTATGGTTGGGAAACTGGTCTGAAATAAACACTGTTAACAGTTTAAATAAATGTTAAATTGGCATCTACTACTTTGTCCATTAAATAATACCTTACTCACTAGTATGAAGCTTTGAAACAATAATCAAAGCTAGTTAGTATACTATCTTAATGTGTCAGCAAGTCTGTCATATTACTGGCAACATCTGACACCTGTATTACAGGTGACTTGAGTAATTTGGACAGCTCCAGTTTAACTTTATTACAAGTTACTTAAAAGTTATCAGAAACTAGGCTGGGCATAGTGGCTCATGCCTATAATCCCAGCACTTTGGGAGGCTGAGGCAGGTGGATAACGAGGTCAAGAGATCGAGACCATCTTGGTCATCAAGGTGAAACCCCGTCTCTACTAAAAATACAAAAATTAGCTGGGCATGGTGGCGCGTGCCTGTAATCCCAGCTACTCAGGAAGCTGAGGCAGGAGAATTGCTTGAACCCAGGAGGCGGAGGTTGCAGTGAGCCGAGATCGAGCCATTGAACCCCAGCCTGGGTAACAAGAGTGAAACTCCGTCTCAAAAAAAAAAAAAAGTTATCAGAAACTTTGTTTCTTTAGTGCTGAAAGTTAGGCTTCAGTAATTACTCCTAAAAGGTAACCATTCAGGTGTAAAAGCACCAATTCAGTAGATTAGAGTGGGTTAGCTCTAATAGGAGCAGAATATTGAATATGACTAGAATCTCAGACTGCTTTCTCCAACTCATTTTGAAGCATTTTTCTTTACCTATACAGCTCATGCCAAGCTAAACCCCTACATTTCTAGTTTGATCTTAGTTTTCTGCCCTCCCCTGATTAATGTACTGAACTCTGCAATCAATTGATTGTCTTGTGTTCACCATGCATACAATAAAACTAGGGATTTAATTTGATTCTGAGGAATTTCATGCTCTTCTGTAACATTTGGAATACTTTACAGCTCTCTTTAATGTATCTTTTTGATCATTCTTGCCTTTTGAGATAAATATAACTCTATGTTTATTCAAATATCATGATGCTCCTTTTATTCTGTTAAGATGAGGAATAGTGGATTTTCATACTAAGTTTATTTTCTCCCCTCTTATCCCATATTTTCACTTCTTTTTACCCTGACCTAGACATTTCATATAAATTCAGTTTATCTGCTCTTTTAAGAAACTCATTGAATTAAATTGACCATAATGTGAGGTTATTTTCTTAAAACTTGCATATAGAAACTGCTTGCTTAGGAATTCTATTTCATAAAATATAAAATAACCAAATGACTAACATCATCCACATATTCTTATTTGGTTATTATGATTTTCTGTCATTTCAGTGAATGTACTAGATAAGTATTGCCATAGTAGACTATCTGCTGGAAGTCTGAGATTAGAACTGTTTGCTGTCATCTTGTAGCTGGTCTTTTCTAGAAGATAACATTGACATCTGTAATTGCTGTGAAACCCATACCTGTGGAAAGTTCTATTTCTCCCTGAAGCTGGCCTGAAGCCACTGAGAGAAAGGTGACTGGTCAGGGAGGCTAGGGATCTTATGTCAATCAACAAAGACGTGGGAGCTCATACGCCAGTGTCTCTCACCTTTTTTTTCATGATCATTTCTTTAGCAAGACACATCATATTCTCCCAAAGAAGGAAAGTTAAACACTAAGGAATAGGATATTGTCAGGTGTGGTCCTTGGAGCATTTCAATCATTATAATATCTAAGACTTTTGCTCCCCGAGAGCCAGTTTTGTGTATGATATTACATCTATTGAAAATTCATGCTCTAGGCTGAGGATGGCTTACATTATGTTCTGTTAAAGGGATCATCTAACGTGTCTTATTAACAGATTCAGGAAGTTCCAGGAGAGAGATGCAGGTGATTGTGTTGGTTGGACCACTCTTCATCACTGATTTGACTCAAGACATCAGCAATGGTGCTGGCCAAATGGGACTAGCTTTGTCCCAAGATATAATTGACATAGATAACAAAGATTCCAAGCATCTGGCATTAACATTCTATTTATTTTTTTACCCTAAGTAAGAGGAAGAAACCATAAACCATGTTGCTATTGACTTTTGGAGCTGGAACTATAAATATTGCTGTTTTCTCTATAGCATTACTATACAGAAGACTAAAATTTGAAATAGATTAATTACCATAATAATAAATTGATATAAATGATCAGTGGCAGTTTTGTGTTTCACTTCTTTAAGACTTCCTAAAACTAGAAGAGAAACAAAACCATAATGGATCACACGAATTCTGGACTACAGGGAAGTTCATCTGCACTGATGCCACAATTCTTGCCAAAGTGTCAACAATTCACACTTTAGCTAGAATAAGGTTTTCCCTCTTGGTATTTTATCTCCTTCCCTTACCCTTAGTCAGTTTTTGCCTCCAGTAAACTTGTTTTCAGTGGAAGCTTCTGGGTCTTAGTTTCCTCCCTACCCCACTTACCCTCCAAGTCTTAGGTTCTTTAGCTTTAATCAACTGCCTCCTGGAGATGTAGGACTTTGTAAGGCTGAGTTGACTTTTTGTGGGTGTAAGTATTTAAGGATACAGGTAATAGACACAATACAGTGTTTCTGATTTCCTCTGACTGGGAGAGACATGATCTTTATTTTCTAGTTATCTCAGTTTGGATGGGACTCATCGAGACTCCTCTATATTCCTTTATAGCACGGTACTAGGGCCTTTATTTCTCAGAATATCATGTATTGGTGCAGAGATTATGGTCTACCTAGCCATGACATCTTAAGTGGATGTTGAGAGGAGTAAGGAATGGGAAGTGATAGAAAGCAGGACATCAGAATCATCTGAATAACTTTTTCTAAATACCATCTCCATCTGCCACACTCACGCCTGGAGCTGTCTCTCAAAACAGTTAGTTAAATAAACAAAAAACAATTTGACCAAAGGCAAAAAGAAACAATACTGATATTTGTCTCCTGCTTACAGATGCATTTTTAAATTGAGTGATAAGAAAATCTTTATTGCCTTTAAAATCCCAGCATTGAGAAGGAAAAATTGAGCTCTGCAATCCACAAATACTTATTTTAGCTAATAATGTTACCTTTAAGCCTCATTATTGGGAGACAGGAGAAATGGGTTTCTTAACTATGGTTCTTTTGCAGAATAGCATGAATCTGGTTCTGGTGACAGTCTTGGTTTATGCTTTCCTGGGGAAAGGGGATAAGCCAGTGTTCCTTCTACAGCATAGCCAGAACTCACACAGAAATTCTACAAAGAAAATGCAGAAAAGGCAAATTCATTTGTTTCTACTGAACAGGAATGCAGCCACTAAATGGTAGCACTCTCTGTGTTAATAATTTTCATTTGCCATTTCTAGATTTGACACCTCAATGATTTCTCAAGCAGAACAAAAAACTCATTTTAATGCAAACAGCATTACCTTTTTAGACAAGGCCATAGTTCATTTCTAGAGTCAGCCCACAATTACAGTGGTAGGTCATAAGCAAAAGCTATTTAGTTTGCTAGGAATATCCATTAGAGAATGAATAATGTGGCCAGAAATGAACACCAAAAAATAAAAAGAAAAAAAGAACTGGAACCAAACAACTCCTTCAACTTCCATCTGTTTCTGGCTTAAGTATTAGGAAAAGATTAAGATGCCAGAAACATTGGAGGTGGCTCTCAAACATTAGCTCGCATTGGAAAAATTCTGTGGAGGGCTGCTGCAACTCATAGGTCCCAGAGATGCTAATTTAAAATATGAGGTGCAGGCTGTGAACTTCATTTCTAAGAAGTTCCCAGATGATGTTCATGTTGCCGTTATTGCGATTACACTGGGAGACCCACCAGTTTAAAGAGCTACAGCTGTGTTGCGGGGGGGTGGGGGGGCCTGATCTTAGTAAGAACATAGGTCACACCTGTTGAAGACAGCGTTTGCTAAAATTCTCTAATGACAATTATTGCTGGGTAGGAATTACTGCAACAACACGTCCTTTCTATTCATCTTGTAATGAGACACATTTTTCCCTTTAACTATAGCTCAGAACTCTCTTAGTCATTTATGTGGTGGTGGGATGTGGGATATATTAATAGAAGTAACTTCCCATTTCCAGTTCTTATTTTTATACAAAAGCTCTAAACTTGTCTCTTCTTTCCCATCCTGGTACCTTCTGAATATAACGATACTTAGACTCTTTCGTGCCTTCTCTGCTGGAGTAAGGGAGCATGTGTCCGTAGATTTTTCTTGTTTTGTAGCCTCTTGATGATATCTTCAGTAAAATACCTCTCATCCCCTTAAAACTCTGACATCCTACATTCTCCAACATGTGTGTTCTGTGAATCAATTGAAAAGAAGTTTCATTAGTGACTTCTAAATGCAATGTTTGCCATCCTGCTGCTTGCATTCCGAACACAGTAGTATCTGGAAATGTTTATTGGCGACTTCACTTCAAAATTCCAGAGCTGTATCACTTATTTGCTTTAAATACCATAAAACTAACACTTAACTGTTGATTACAGCACAACTATTGATGGCATAACACAACTACTTGATGACAATTGAACTGTACACTTAGCATCCCCCATCCCTTTCCTGCCACATCAGGTGAAGGGCATTACCTTGCTAAATACACAGATATTTACCCTCAGAGGAACCCACCACCCATTAGTCTTTGTTCTAGCAGTAAGATGGCAAGCCATAGGGGACGAAATACCAGTTATTTAAATCAATCATGGGAATCAAATTCTTTACCAGTGATTTGTCTAGGGGAAAACATCTGACTAACTTTCATTAGCTCCTGAAGGAATTTTGAGGTTTCTGTGAATTAATTTTCTCTCTCAGAAAAAGAGTGTAAACACAACTCTTTTCTCTCCATTTTCTTTATTTCTATTTTGGTTACTGCTTGATACAGTTAGGCTCCATGTCCCTACCCAAATCTCATCTCGAATTGTAATCCCTACACGTGGACAGAGGGAGATGATTAGAAACGGGGCAGTTTCTTGCATGCTGTTCTCGTGATAGTGAGGTCTCACGAGATCTGACGGTTTTATATGGGGCTCTTCCCCCTTCACTTTTTGCTCTCTCTGGCCTGCTGCCACGTAAGATTTGCCTGCTTTGCCTTCCACCACGATTGTAAGTTTCCTGAGACTTTCCCGGCTGTGCAGAACTGTGAGTCAATTAAATTTATTTCCTTTCTAAATTACCCAGTCTCCGGTATTTATGGCTGTGTTAAAATGGACCGATAGACTGCTGTGTAAAGATGTGATGCTTGCAACCACTGTAGCCATCTTGTGACCATGAGGGAAAGAAGAGGTAATTCTGGAAACGCTCACTTAAAGGCCCAACATTTCTGAGCCGTTGAATCACCAACTGCCTAACTTTGGACATCTTTTTGAGAATATATCATTTACTTAAGTCATTAAGTTTTTTTTTCCTTTTAATAATATAATTTGAATGAATTCTAACTGATCATATGAAAAGTACATCAGGTCTTTGTCAAAGAGCAAAAGCCCTGGTTTCTTATTTTCTGGGCTTGTTTTGGAGACTGGAGTCTGCTTCCCCAAAGGAATAAAACTAACCCTTATGTTTTGATAGGGAATCCGATGAATGACTCTGGGACAGAGCTCACCAACGAAAGTAAAAATTTTGGCTTTCTTAAGCTCTAATTAGTCTCACCTGGTTCACAGCCGCCACCAAAACTGCCCAATTGATTTTTTAAATTACCAAATGCTATGGCAATTGCCATAATGTTATGACCCTGCTAATACAATGTAGTGTGGCTGAAATGCAAAGCACTCTCTGGAAAGGAGAGGAGAGAGGCTTTTGGTTGAGCTGGATCTGAATTTTCTGTCCTATTTGCCTTCCCTGGGGATGAGGAGGTCCAGTGGCGTTTGGCATGCTAGTTTGTTCCAGATCGTCAATATGTTGCTATAGTGTTAGGACACTTAGCTCTGGAGATGCCCTTTTGAAGAGGCTGTTGCTCAAACAGCCTTTGACTTAGTATTTTGGCCGTTTTTGGATGAAGGGTAAATATTCTCTAGCCAAGGACTGTTCCCCAGCTGGGTGAAATGTGTGTTCTTATTAGACCCTTCAATTTTGTTCTTCTACCTTGACAGAGCCTGAAGTTTTTGTCACTGGTCTCTTTTAGGTTTAGAAGTTATATATAGAAGATACTGTGTGTGAACGTGAGACTGGGGTGAATTTGGGGATGTCCATTTTTTCTCTGCAGACAGCTGAATGACAATTTATTCAGATTAAGACTTTGAGGCCATGCTAATGGACTCATTTCCTTTAGGTTGGTTGTGCTTTGTAGAGCCAAGGACGAATGATTTGATTTTTAAAGAAAGTCTGGAACATATGCCAGTCGATGCTATGTGGTTCTTCAAAAATGTAGTGTACGGACTTGGAGAAAACAATATGATTTTCCCCATGTTATAACAATAATTAGGTTCAATACTAGTGATGGTGGTTTAGGTTTTCTTATCACTGACTCTCAGACTCACAGGCCATATACCTGAACCTTGGGCAGAGGACCGAAGTTCCCATACCTGTCTGATCAACAAAATGAATTAGTAATCTTGTTAAACTACAAATTCATAAATTCCACCTTACAGCGACTAAATCAGACTCACAGCATGCTGGAGAACTAGCTTGAGGAATTATTCTTAGAATTTAGATTTATTTTTCTGTGATTCTGTGATTCTTTTTCTCTGATATAATAGTTCTTTTGTCCCTGATTCTATAGACAGATCCTGGGGAGTACATAATCTCACATGACCTCTTTTTGTGGGAGTCCCAATCTGTATGATGCTTGGAGTATTGTCCCTCAGTCCCACAGCTCTATGTCCTTCTCAAAAGACCCCTAGAAGCAGAGGGAGATACAATGGAATTAAAGTTAGAAAGTGGGAAAAAAAGGCACATTTAGGGAAAAGTGAGTAACTGAGGTGGATATACAAAAAGGTAGTGAGCGGTGTTCAGGTGGGAAATATACCAATTTATTGTTTGTAGAGAACTTTCAATGTGATGCTGAGGTTTTAGCCTGGAAAACAGAGTATTGATGAAGGTTTGAATAGTATTCAGGAATTTGGAATCATTACTCAGTAGCAAAGTATATCATTTGTTCAAGTGGAGGGTGATTGGTAAGGGAAACCAGTGTGGTTCACTTCAGTAATCCAGGCCACCTGTAATGGGACAGCAACTGAGGTGACAGAAAACAGGGAACACCCGAAAGAATGAAAATGGAAAGAGGCAAAGGTGAGTGGCATAAAAAAAATTTAAAAATTCCGTGACTCAAATTTCTAAACCTTCTGTTTCTAGGGCAATGGAAGGCTATTAAATGAATTGGAAAAGACATTTCATTAGGGAGAGAAAAAAAGTTTGGTTTTAAGCATTATTACAGGTATACTAGCAATACAGAGGTGCCTCACAGGCTATTGTGGAAGGAGGTTATACCTGGAGAGTAAGTTTTATTCTGAATTTTGTGCCTGGCACACAATACTTTATTTTTGAATGACCAGTAGGACTTGGAGAGAAAGGTCAAAGGCTTTTAAATGAGTTTATTTAAGTGATTGAACTTTGGCATAAATTAAAATGGTTTTATTTTTTCTAATCATCATGTTTAAACATTCTCTGGATCTAATTTCCATGTCCCTGGATGATATCTTTTTATGCATTTTATATTTTCTAATCATTTGGTTATTAGAACAGCCTCATTTTTGTCATTAAAACTCTTTTAGATACTAAAGTACAACCTTGTGCTTTACAAGTTGAATCTCATATTTAGATCTTTCCACTTCTGGCCTCTTCTGACTCTCAGGGGTATGTGCAAAAGGAGTATAATCTGCCAACGTTTTCTCGTCTTTTACTCTTCCTCTCTCTGCCTGATTTCCAAGTCTGTGAGATAATCCGTTGTTGGGGGAGGAGATAATATAAAATATGGATAACAGAATAGATGGATAATAAAAAAGAAGCTAAGGTTTGCTGGGCTGATATTTTATGTAGTTATCTGTATAGTAAGCACCGCCCCCAAAAGGTGGCTGTCTTCCGATCACATTTTTGGATGATTCTGTGGCCTTCCCTTTGCAACGATGTTTCCTTTAAACAGTTTTGTGACATGGACAGTATACTCTGTGACTGACTAGTGTCTACCCCACTCAGGTCCTGCCCAAGCAAAGCTTTCCAGCCTGTACCCACAGTTCACCATTGCCAACCAACATCTTCAGAAGGTGTGTGTAAGATGGTCTGAGCCTGACTTTATATATTTTGCTATTTCAAGTAGTGGAAGTACACTTCAAATGCCATCTCTGCCTGTCTTGCCATTGGGCTGCTCCAGAGACTTCCTCCACTCAGAACATTCCATGATAGAAATTGCCACCAGTATCTATGATACTGTTTGTCCCCAAGTTTGAGTATCAGACACACAGCTTTCACAGTGTGTGAGCTTAGGCCTGTGAGTTTCTGAAGTTCAAGCTGCCTCTGGGAAATGAGGTGTCAGTTCCTTTCCCTTACAGACTGCCTCCACCTCTCTCCCCTCACCTCCCCATTATCTTGAAGAGTGGTCTCTTGAAGCAACTGTCACTTGGCTTGGAAGAAGGTGGGAAAAAATGTAGCAAAACATCCTCCCCAGACCTGTGTTTTCCATGACTTTCAGTTAAATATCTGTGTGCTCTCTCCATAAGGCTGAAGGTAGTCGGAGGATGACGTTAATCCACGTTGCACTGAAAATCCTGTGGGGATACGTTTACTAATTTTTATTTATAATAATGAGATACAAGTTGTCTTTTGCTCAAAGCTTTAGCTGAAAATCTGAATACCAGTAAAAACCTGCTCAATGTCCTAGTATATGTTTATTTAACCTACATCATTTACTGGTTCTATAAGTGCCAGATATTGTTCGCAGTACTCAAGATCACAAACAAGGTCTTTGCTTTCACTGAACTTAACTTCATTTTGGAGAGTGGAGGGAAGTTAGGGGAAACAGACAATGAACAAATTTAAAAAATAGCAAGTTCACATTTATGTTAACTATGCAGAGTTAAAACCAGATCTACTAGGTGGCTGGATGATTCACCTGGATTTTGTGAGGCAGCTACAAAGGAGGAGAGAGCTATTTAGTGTCAATATGCATTCCATATTTTGAGGCCTTAAGGATAGAAAATTAAGTGGAATCTGCCATCTATTAGTATAAATAAAGTTTTTTGTTTTTTTTTTCTTTGAGACGGAGTTTCGCTCTTGTTACCCAGGCTGGAGTGCAATGGCGCGATCTCAGCTCACTGCAACCTCCGCCTCCTGGGTTCAGGCAATTCTCCTGCCTCAGCCTCCTGAGTAGCTGGGATTACAGGCACGCGCCACCGTACCCAGCTAATTTTTTGTATTTTTAGTAGAGACGGGGTTTCACCGTGTTGACCAGGATGATCTCAATCTCTTGACCTCGTGATCCACCCACCTCGGCCTCCCGAAGTGCCAGGCCTAAATAAAGTTTTATTTGAACACAGTCACTCTCATTTGTTAATATATTGTCTATGGCTGCTTTCATGAAACAGTTGCAGATTGAGTAGATGAGATTGAGACTGTATGACCTGCAAGTCCCAGATATTATCTCTTTGGTTCTTTTTAGAAAAAGTTTGCTGGACCCCTGCTATAAGAATAAAATGCGGCCAGATGTGATGGTTCACGCCTGTAATCCCAGCACTTTGGGAGGCCAAGGTGGGTGGATCACAAGGTCAGGAGTTCGAGACCAATTTGGCCAATATGGTGAAACATCTGTCTCTACTAAAAAAAAAAAAAAAATTAGCCAGGCATGGTGGCAGTCACCTGTAGTCCTGGCTTGTTGGGAGGCTGAGGCAGGAGAATCGCTTGAACCCACAAGGCTGAGGTTTCAGTGAGCCGAGAATGCACCACTACACTCCAGCCTGGGTGACAGAGTGAGACTCCACTTGGAAAAAAAAAAAAAAAAAAAAAAAAAGAATAAAATGCATCATATCACGCTTTATACATTAAGCATACATTAACCTACCAAGAAAGGGTTATTTTTATTCTTCAATGAGTTAGTCATATTTACATATTTATTCCTGCTGTCCATCAGTTCATCCTAGAATTATTAATTCTGATGTGTAGTTGCTTCATATTGATTAAAATCACATATTAAACCTGTTTATTGAATAAGTGTTGGCAACCATGGGAATTTGCCTGGCCCACATATTGGGTATAGTCGGCTTCTCAGTAAGGCAGAGTATTGATTTAAATGATCCAGAGCCTATCACAAATACCAGTGCACTCTCACAGCATGGTTTAGGATCTCACTAATAAAGCATGCCTATTCTTATGGTCCAGCATTTGACTTCCTGCTATTTGTCTGGCTCCCATGAAATGTTTTTAAATGTTTTGTCTTTCTAATTTGTGTCCTTTTACAAAATGCTTGTCAAATATTGATTCCCTTTCACAATGGGGCCTGGATGCAGCTGACAGTTGTTTTGTTTCACGACATTGATTCATGCAGCTCCTGCTGCTGCCAAAGAACTTCTTTGTGTACCAGCTTCATACATTGATTTCAGTTCAGGGTTGGGGACAGGGTTTGTTTAATGGCTGCAGCTGGGGGATATTTTTCCTAATATGAATTGTACTGCTGTAGACCGTTTTAATCTATCATCTCAATGCCTTCCAAGAATGTCCTAATTGTGGTAACTCAAGAACCTTGTTGGGGAAGACATAATAACGCTCTTTCTTTTGTATGGAAGCAAACAACCAACCAGGTAAATGAGTTTGTCCAAGTTCATGTAGGGAGCTCTCAGGTATCCCAAAAATAAGGCATCATGTGGTGCTATTTCTTTCTATCAAATATGCAAATGTTATCTGCTTTTTTGTGATCCCAGTTGTCTCTCTCTTCATAATTTCCACCATCCCACTTCTTGTTAAGGAATTTCCTGTTAGTATTTACCAATTCCTCCTACATATTCTGGACCTTTCTCCTGATGTGACCCCAAACTCTATTGTTTTTACCAATTCTTATACTTTTTATTATTACACTATTTCCATGGGGATTTCAAGATACATTCAAATAGTCATAGGTGTCCATTTTGTGTCACGTTACAAATATGAGCCCTCAGTCCCCTGTCTTTGCTGACAGTCTAAGGCATGACCAGATTAACCTTAGCATTCATTGTCTCTGCTCTTATTTTCTCTCTGGTACCCTTGTTATTTTACCATTATTGGACTTAATTTGTATTTTATGAGTTTATGTGCTTTTCCCTTATTCTTTTTCTTCTTGCCTCTGATAGATTCCACAATTACCTGTTTTATGATCTATATTCTTTCACACGCTCTTGTACATTTCCTGTCTTCTGGACTTCTTACTTAGTGTTGACTGTCTATCTCAACCACACAAAGTAAAAGAGTTTGCCTGAACCTCAGAATCATCTTCATGCCAACAGGTTATTCCACTCTCCTGTAAGTTAGAGTCTTTTTTGGGGCTTTTGTCCTCACTTTTTTTTTTTTTTTTTGAGGTGGAGTTTCGCTCTTGTTACCCAGGCTGGAGTGCAATGGCGTGATCTCAGTTCACTGTAACCTCCACCTCCTGGGTTCAGGCAATTCTCCTACCTCAGCCTCCTGAGTAGCTGGGATTACAGGCACGCACCACCATGCCCAGCTAATTTTTTGTATTTTTAGTAGAGATGGGGTTTCACCATGTTGACCAGGATGGTCTCGATCTCTTGACCTCGTGATCCACCCGCCTCGGCCTCCCAAAGCACTGGGATTACAGGCTTGGGCTACCATGCCCAGCCACACCTACTCTAAAATTGACCACATAATTGGAAGTAAATCACTCCTCGGCAAATGCAGAAGAATGGAAATCATAACAGTCTC